GGGAAAACCTCAAGTCCGGGAAATACCGCATCATTAGAAACCTTTAGATCCACGTTTACCGCAGACGTCTAACCGCGGTTTGAGGCCAGACGTTTTGCTGTTTGCCGTTCGGACGTTAGTCGATTTGGATCGGAGTAAACTGGAGTGAATAGAAATCACCCTGATAGTGCATTGTAAATTGTCAAAATAACGCAAAGAATCATAAAACACACATTCAACTTAGGCTGCCGCCACAATGGATTTCCACTTAGGATCAGTGCCTTTCTGCAAACAAAGACAAAACTCTACGAAATTGCTTATTCGCCTAAAAATTATAACCAATTTGTAGAAAGAAAAGGGTTGCTTTATTCGATTTCAGCATTTGTACGTGGCATAGCTTGAGGTACCTCTTGACGTTCAAAATATGAGTCGAAAATCTCAAACGTAACGTCTGGACCTGCTCACGTGACCCCTAACGGTTCGCCGTTCGCGGGAAACGTTGATCTAAAAGTCTCGGTTACAAAACACTCGCACGTGCCAAATATAGGTCCGCAATGCGTACTTGAAGCTGGGCAAATGAACCTTGCGCATGAGCCTTGCGCATGCAGCCTGGTAAACACTCAAACATGAAACGTTTAGGGTGAAGTCTTTTTCCATTCCAGTAAAAGAGAGTGTGATTCTTAACTAGCCGTGGTGAGTCCGAGGGAGGGATTGCTAAATTGAAATTAACTCTAATACCTGAAAACGACGGCCAAAGTTGTTTTTTTTTTTTAGCTTCTGGCGAGGATTTGTGAGGCGCACTTTAAGCAGGAAGTGCGTTATATCCGCCTACAGTACACAAATAATGTTTTGAGCGTTGAGGCAACCTTTATTTAGGTATCGAAATGATAACTGAGAGATTATTTTTACTGAAAAACTTTGTCGATAACACGTTCTAGATTCAGAGGCAGTGTAATCATTCTTTTCATAGGCCATAATCTGTGAAACCTTTTATTCCTCGTTTTACTCTTCGTTTCTTTCAATTGCTTAAAGTCACATCAAAACACGTTTCACTTTGTCAATCGAAGACGACCGAGAAAAAAAATCACGGAATGTAAAATGTACTTTGAACCACAGCGCGAAGTCTGCTTACTTGTTCAGAGTCACAGCACGCTCTGTCGAACAACACATCCAGTTGTGACATGTCTGGAGTTTTAGCCAGCTGAAGCATCGCGTAAATAATGCTCAGTGATTTCCATCGGAGGTCCAACAGCGGAAGATCTGAAAGAAAATGAACAACAATTTAACTGTTAATTATTTATTTAGCTTGCTAGCACTTTCCTCTTTCCGCTCTTCGCGGGAAAAAATTTGGACCTACCGATTCAAAATTCTAAGCGATGCGGGCAGGCTCTTCTTCCCTTACTCCCCGCCTCCCCCCGCAAAGGCCTCAAAGAGCCTGAGCCCGCGAAGGCTAGCACTTTCCAATTGCGGAGGCCACAAGAGCACGAAATCTAAGTTCCAATTGTTATTGTCCAATCAGAACGTTAGCTAGCTGCTGTTTTAACGAGAGGTACCGAGACTCTGGTCTTTTGTCTTTAATTTCTTGGACTAGCCGGCTTCTGTCTAGTACAATTTTCATCTCATCTAACTTATTAAAAACTGGATCATTGGACATTACAGTTCAAGAGTATTTATTGGCTTAGCCATCATGGTATATGAGGCATTATACCATGAATTACAAATATGGTAAGCGTACACGTAATTTTTGGGGGCTTTTTTAATTATCATTTTATTTCAGTTTTCTATATTTTGGGGGCGTTTATAATAAAACAATTATTCCACTCCCGCTTGTTGGATATGAGAAGGTAATAGCCAACTCGGCTCTACGCGCCTCGTTACTATTGGGGGCTAATCGACCCTGACTATCTATCTTCACATATCCAACACGCGCGAGTGGATAGTTGTTAATTAAATACCACATCGGTAGCAACGTGTGGGCCTGACGTGCACAGTGAGACCTTGGGGGATTAAATATCCTTTACCCAACCCAAACACTTCACGCGACTTTCAGAAGAGAACTACAAAGTTCTTGAAACAACCAATAGAAACTAAAGTTTGGAGAACAAGAAACTTAAACAGGATCTTTGTGGGAGATCCAGACCAAGGCCAGTAGACCAACCCAAACATGACCATCGATGGGTATTGTTCGGAGTAGTTTCGATAAACTAAGATAAACAACTTGAAGTCATAACACTCTCCATGGTGGCAGTCGGGCCCTAGAATCACGAGAGTAACGTGGTAGCTATAAAACGATAAACAGTTGATGATCACGAACCAAACATACTAAATTCTGTAAGAATTATTAAATACTTATTATAACATGCCCACTTCTTAGATTAAGCATCGTCCCTTGTTTAGGCCAGTTTCGCTACTTGTCGAGTTCGCTATGTTCGAGTTCGCCACTAGCCTCGATTTCCGCCGCTCACTCGCGTCCGGTTTTTGCGCGCCGGCTCGTTTCGCAATCAGCGGCTGGAAATCGAGCTACCTTTTCGTTACGACCTCGAACGTCTGAGAATCAGGCTAGTTACTCTCAGGCCGAGTTCGCCGCCTAGGGCTAAATTAGATACATTCCAGAATTTTTTTTGAGAATTTTAGACACTGAAAAGAATTTTAGAAAATCTCGGGAATTTTAGACGAGTAAAATTTAGTAGAATTTTCGAGCAATATTAGCTTCCAGCAGGAGGTGATATTTATAGTAGCTATGTACGAGCGTATAAAGTTATCGAATGCAGATATATTATATAGAAATACATGTTAGTATAAGTAATCGAATGAATGCTCGTGCAATTAAGGATTTGCATAACGAGTGATATTTGAAAATTCTCTCAAAATTGCACGAACCTTTAGGCGAGTACAACTGGCCATTATTATATGACTGAGAAAATTACTTCATTGTGATTGGTTGAGAGCAGGCCTATCTAATTCTTAACTCTTTGTTAATTCTTATTTAATTTGCACTGAGTAAATGAGTAATTGAAAATTTACACTACCCGTGATATTTGAAAATTCTTTCAAATTACACTCGCCAAAGGCTCGCACAATTTTGAGAGAATTTTCAAATATCACTCGTAGTGGGATTAGTCGTATCTATAACGAAATTCTCGATCGTGATTGGTTCTCCGCGCGCCTATTTGCCACGTAATCGGCGCGCAATCACGTGGCTGTCCAATTACAGGTATCCACTTTGAACTTTTTGTTATTGGACACCTGTAATTGGATACCCACGTGATTTGAACGTCAATTGCGCGCGCTTTAATGGCTTTCTTTGCGATGTTTCCTATAGTTTTCAAAACTTATGAAACGCGCTACATACGTTCTCGGTCAAAAGAAGTTCTCAAAAGACATTTTTAATTCTGAAATTGTTTATAGATACGATTAATTAGTAATTGGACTTCGTGTCGTACAATTCAGGGAGTAATCGTACTTGTATTTCAAATC